ATCTAAATATTGAGAAAATCATCTTTAAAGTTGTTCAAATGAAGTTCTTAGCAATGCATATTACTAATCAAACATTAAGTTTTGATATATTTACGGTAGGACATTTACTAAATATCTTCATGGAACATGATCTTTACTTAATATCCTAATGATTTTTAGCATAAAAGAGAAATGTATAATTGTGACCCATACAATGTATTGTTGGCTATTGCTACAAATATCCCCCAGCGACTTAACACTGCTTTTGTGCTGCAGGGTCAAACATATTATATATTTTTAAATTATATATATAAGAACCATATATTTTATAATAATAAAATACAAAAAAAGTTAATGAGTTGGACTCACCCCATGACACAAGACAATAAAAAATAAAATACGAACGTAACAGACATCCATCCTTCAAAGGTTAGCGCCTTAAAATAAGAAGAACATATGAGATATGTTTTAAAGAAGTTGAAATTCATTTTCTTCATCTCGATGTTCTCGCTCACCTTCTCTAAATCTCCGGTGTAAGCGCTCGCCAGGACCGTTGGGATAATAATGATAAAAGCGTTATAAAACAAAACCCCATATTTACCAAGACCCTGAAACAACAGACAACGAAGGCAAGAGTTCATAGGTTTGCATACGACTGCAGATCTGTGTTTCATCACAAAGCTGTACACCTAATGACTTCCAAGTGCATTTGATAACACCTAGTCGCATTGATATCTAACAGCCTGCCGCGGGAGATATGATGCACGTGGCAAAGAAGTTATCATCAGTTATTTTCATCACTGATAACTCCTGCTGTCATGTACCTCCATCCCCAGTTTCTTCTTGGTGTAAACTCCACTGGCGGCCGTGAAGACGTCGTTTAGCAGAACAAACGTGTATCCTTCTGCATTGAAGGACAGGTCCGAGCTGAAGCAGTCGGGTCAGAGTTAATAAACACACCTGTGTCTATATATATATATCATATTATCATGAATGATCTGTGTTCATGTACCTGGCTGCCACCAGAGCGCCCACGACTATCGCCAAAACACTGCACACCAGCGGCGGAGCGAAGCTTTTCCTGAAGATAGAAACACAGTCTTATCATCATGCGGCACTTTTGGCCTTCTAGCAGTTAAAACGTAAAACTACAAGTTGCTTGCGGAGGCACACGTGAGCTCTGCGACATTAAAACTCTAATAACCGAAGAAAGACGGATATCTGAAAAACGTCTTTCTGAGCAGGGTTTTATTTTAAATGGCTGACTTTAGACATAATGAATGATAACGATAACGGTGGGAACTATAACGTTGCATGGCTATTTCATTGTATAAAAGCAAGGACAGGGCAAAGAAGGAAGCGTTTCAGAGATTGGCGGTTATCAATGTTCATGTTTGCAAATGCTGCGCAAACTTATGTTGGTTCGTGTTTTATTACGCGTACTGTTGCGTGCCAAATGCAAACTCTTTCCGGTTCGAGCTTCATTTGTTGTGTTTTCAAGCTACATCCACGTCATCTAGCAGCAGCCTGACTGTCTTTATTTACCACACACGCACACACGCACAGATTAATTATGAAAATATGCAGTTTCCTGGGAAATCTGTCCTGCCCATACGCACACACACATATGTGTCTTTAAAATTCTAAAAAATATTTTCAAAAAAAGATTATAAATAAAATTTGCTTTCAAATATATTTACATAAAGGTTTCCCTACCAACATTTTTTTTTGCATATTTTTTTATATTTTTAAATATATCTATAACACGTGTGAACATGCAACACAACTGAATAAAAATAATGAATAACACTATAAGGTTATAACTGTATTTTCTTGCCTCTGAAATATATATATTGGTATATGAAGGTATATTTTCGCCATATGGGCACAGCATTAAAAGCTTAAGGGTTTAAGGTAAGGCCAAAATAAATATAAAAGGGTGGGGGGTTGTGGTGTACTTGCTCATTATTTACATTTTCACATAAAAGTGGCATTGTAGCTTTAAGCATAATCCCTAGCAGAGCATATATACCTCAGTATCCTGGATTCCATCAGCATTGTGAGTAAAATGGTGAATTTTCTGAGCACAGTGAACATGGGCAAGCTGAAAAACACAAGGCAGCAGCTTCACGCGAGTCTGTCTTCATGCTAAACTCTATGCATTTCTATTCATCCACC